GATCCGATCCACTATATTCTCTATTCAAATCCAAATCACTAATCCTTTAGAACGAAATCATTAATCCCCACATTACCCGCACTAGATTTATTACTTTTCCTCTTTTTCTAGTGAGATATATACACAAAGTGCACAAATATATATATATATATATATATATATATGTATTTGTATACACATATCATATATGCAAACAGGAACAAATACATAAAAGAAGAAAAGCAAAAAGGGCAAAGAGCGAGCAACATCCAAAGTCTCTCTCTGACCTTTATGTTCATCACACCAACCGCCATTCCTTTAGCTTAAAGCCTCAATCCGTTAAGAACCATTGCAGTGACCCCAGTGTAGTCATTTAGAGAGAAAAACTAACACGGTAAAAAGGGAGATATGGATATGTTTGTTCCAGTGAAATGAAGAGTTAACAACTTAAGGGTAGTTTTGTAATTCCGTACTGGTCAACGAGGTTAATAATGTTATCTTAGACATTAGAAGAGTAAAATTGACCTTTTAATAAATTTCTCATTTTAACATCAGCACACACCATTAATTGCTTAATGGCAGAGGTAACTTGTTAGGTATGGTTAAAGGTCAGGGGAAGTACGTGGAATATTGAAACCTAGGAGTGGTGTAGGTGAGAAATGATCAAAGGTCAGGGGGTGCAGGTGGAATTAATTTTTTTTTTTTTTTCTCTCTTCATTCTCGAAAGCACCTTTGGCACTGAAGAGGGAGTTTATTTAACATTTTGGTACCTTAGGTTCATGGTTTTTAAGACGAGCAAACCTCAATGATAACGATCCATTCCTTGACCTTGCAAGTAGCTCTGCTGGAATTGAACCAGTGAAGTTGTTTCCACTCAAGTTTCTGAAAAAAGTGAGCAAACATGACCTCCATTTTTAATCCAACTAAACTTATAATTTGAGTCCCATTCCCAGGTAACTTACAAGACTTTTAAGAAAGTCAGTTGTGAGAGAAATTCAGGCACCATTCCAGTTAAGTTGTTGTTCGACAAATCCCTGAAATAAGAATAGTTTGGATTAGTTTATTTCTATTGTAAATTGAATTTGTATTGCATATACCATTATAAGTTAGACATCTTAGTTGTTAATGTGAGACTAACTTATATACTTACAAAGATTGTATCATTGTGAGATTGGACATGTCAGGAGCTATCTCCCCGTCAATCCGCTTGATGACAAATTCCTAATTACAAAAGTTTTTAAATTTGTAAGTGAGAGAGTTACGATAAAAATAAAAAATAAAAATAAAAATAAAAATAGAATGGTTATTTTAAAGCATACACTTACAAAGATATGATCCTAGGGGGATCAGAACCATCATAACTACAAGTGATGCCAACCCAGACATAATCTTCAGGGGCACATGGATCTCCTTGCCAGTTTCTTTTTAGTCCATACAGTGATTTGATGCTCATGATGGCAGCAACTAAATTTCCAAAAATATATGCAAAAAAGCTTGAACATGAGAGGAAAGGTACAAAAAACGAGACTGAAAAAATAGATGTTGCCAAGGCGTACCTTCTTTGTCAATTGTTTGTAAATGTAGAAGTTGTTTCACAGTAAAAACCTCGAAGGCGTTGATGATGGGTGGAAGGGTTGAATTATCGGTTTTGTTGAGTGAAATGCCAAATATTGAACCACTCTCAGGTGTTTTGCTGTATATTGTTGTTGTGGATAGATAGAAGGGAACAAGATTTGTATACCATAGTTTCCCATTCAAATAAATGTCGAATTCTCTGGACTGGTTGGGTTGCAACATTTCAACTTCAGCAAAGTGCAAATAGATTTAAAGGTTATCTGTGACGTTGTTAGGCTCCCACCAGAAGTACAATGATTCATTGGAATCTATTGGCATCACAGCGGTGCTCATGACAATAGATGGTGGCTGGAATAGGTTGGAGCCTAGGGAATCAACAGTGGAAGAGGTACTTAACGTCGTTGTGGTGTTACCCAAGGTAGAGGGCTTCCATATCCGATCATAGACATCGTCTTTGTACCTAAGAGAGAGATTAATGCCATAGCAAATTGTTTAATTCAGTACATAGAAATAAAAAGATTAGAGATCTGATTCTTCCTAATTCCTAACCAAAAAAAGACCTCAACACAAAAATGTTATACCTTACAAATTGATCAGTTGTTGAACCAAAATCCAAACGCCCGAAGAGGTTTAGTGATCCAAATGTAGTTGCATACATAGAATTATTTAACGGTCTTATCTCTAATGCTGATATAAAAGGCGTTCCAAGGCCTGTGTTTATGAGACAGACATGTACGTAGTCCATAGAAGGAACATGTGTGATCTCACTCCACATGATAGTGGATGCATTATCCACTTTCACTGTCCCAGAAATCAGCTCCTAGGTGCAAATTAAACTCTGGCAATAGATTTTGAGCATCATAGTTCCCATACATGAACCTTGCCCTTATCAAATATTTATTACCTCTTCCTCTTGCAAGTCATGTAGTGTAGCAATTTCTGGTCCCTTGAGGAAAGCTTCTAACACACAAGAACTGCTGCCCTAGTGTGTCACTCTTAAATTCGGGGGATATAGATTTGCCTACACCAGTATCTACAAAACCTACATCTGAACTATAATATAACCCTGTTGTTCCATCTGTGTAGTTGGAATCTTCAGGTATTCCACAATCTATGCTTATGAAACCTAACACATATATAGACAGACAGATTAGCTATATGTTTAGTTTAACAACAATATATTGATTATATTGATATTTCAAGAAAGTGTTTGCGAACCTGAAGGGACCTGTGCATGAACCACAACTATAAGGGCAAGACCCCCTAGAAATGCAAAGAGGAGGAGTTTTGATATGCTCATCATTCTATTCACATTCTTGATGCAAAATAGTCATTTGACATTTCATCTTATATACTCCTACATCATATGCATGCTAATATTTAAGCTGCATGTTGTGAATTTTTATAATGGGTTAAAATCTCTGAGCTACTCTGTCAAATTTTCAATCCTTCTGTTACAATGAAGATGTTGTGGATACAAGTTTGTCAATGAGGTATACAAGTCAACAAATTTGTTATATATATATATATAAACAAATACATTTATGCTGATCAATTATTATATAAGTTTGTGACTTTGTCAAGATTCAGCTGATCATTAAAGAGTTGAGACTTCACTCTCTATTTTAAACATGTCTTCATCACAACAGCAATAAAAAGCGTTAATTTAGGCACATACATGGAAAGTAATTTGGCTGCTCCAATATTAAAGAAAGCACAGGGATGTCAAATCCTTTGGTTGGTGATGGAAAGAATGGGTCAATCAAGTATCACTTGATTAAAGAATCTCAATGATCCAGCCCGATCAAGAAGTTTTTAGTAATTTACTTTTTCTATAGACAGCTAGGATCTGAGTTCTACTAAAGAATTATAGTGTACACAATATGGAAAAAATAAATTTCTTGGACAAGTAAGCAAATTGGCTTTGAACCTAAGAAGAGCCAACAAGTCCTTCATCTTGCTCCCCTTTGCAATGGCCTTCCCAAAGGTTGGATAATATCATCCAGCATGGTGTTTCTAATCTGAAGGGCTAATCCTTCTCCAATAATGATTAGCGGGGTGTTCCAAACTTTTTGGGTGAGACTAATCCCTCCAGAGTCCAGACACATGACAGACTCCAGTGTCACGAAAATCCTATTGAGGCTGGCCTCAAGGAAAGGGAATTCCGCCTTGTAGGAAGATATCTCTTGCTGAAGTAACTTATTCAATTTGGAGAGAGAGATCACAGGATGGACACTAATAGCTACAAGAGACATTCAGACAATTCAAAAAGAAATTGTGGAGCTCATCAGATATTCCCCCTGTTCTTTAGAATGTGTCTCTAATTGCCAGTCTAATTTTCTGATCATTAGGTTTGCAGAATGCCCCTAACTCTGTTCTCAAATTTTCGTACATGGTTTTGTGTCCTCAGCTAATGCGTGAAGGTTTTCTTCTTTGTTTATTTATAAGGTTTTTTGGGTAGCTCTGGTTTTCAATGGTGGAGCCTAGTTCAGCCTCAAGTCAAGTCTGCTAATTATGATGGATGGGTTTGGTCTTCACATGGCTTATTCGCTCTCAACTGTTATCATAATTGGGGCCTTTCCATTGTTGGTTCTCTGCAATTTGTTCTCTGCTTCAGTTGTTTATGTTCTTCAGCTTCCATGGGCTTCTTTTGTTTTTAATTTTCTTCCCTCTTTGTGTGAGCATATTCTGAATTAGAAATTAGTGATATGGAATTTGAAAAAAGATTTACTAAATTTCACAGTAAACAAATAGACTTGGAATAGTTTTCTAACTATTCAAGATCATCATGAACTTGAAACTTTCATTATGGGGAAAACTTTATTCAAGATTTTCAAGAAAGTGAGAGCGACAATTAGGGTTTGGGGGCTGAAACTTGTAGTCTCCTAATTTTTGCGTAGTGAAATCTTTTGCCAGATCTTTATTGCGGACGTAAACACAACTTGTGTAGAACCACGCTAAATCTTTATGTTGTTTGTAAGTGTCATGTTCGTGATTTTTTCTTGGTTCGCTGTGTTTATCGTAACGAACCATGCAAGCTTTCATGGCAGGGCTAGTGTGTGCTGCTCAGCAACACTACTGCCAAAGTTTTAACATGCAAAATATGGAACTTAAAACTAATATCAACGTGCTAACAATATAATTTGATTGCTTCAAGTGCCAACGCAAATTATGATTCTAAATCCACTTGATGAAAACCTAATGCATGCCAAGGTTTAATAGTCAATGAAACATTTAATTTTGTTGTTTTCCTTATTTCAAATTCATCTCTAACATTACACGACTTATGATGAAGGTTATTTTTATCCTGAAGAAGCAGAAGAATTTCCAGTCATTAATGTCAAGCTCTTAAAGCTATGTGTGATCACAAAGATCACACTGAACCGAGGTGCACAGGGGTTCTTTGATTTCAAACCAAGCTTCTATAATGAAATAGTCCTCTACATTGCAAGAAATATATTATATACACCTTGTGGAAATATAACATTATCATTAGTGTTGTCTCAGAAGAATTACACATCTGTCTAAACAATGCAGGCAAACAAATATTAATGCTTAGAAGTAATTTGGAGAATGAGAGAAAACAAATACTAACAGTTGGTTTTTGCAAAGGTCTCAATTGAGTTTATTGACATTGATTGAAGAAAGAAAATGTTCACCAACAACAACGATACTTTTTGAAGAGATATCATCTTGCCGCGGGACTTAGTCCACTTTCCAAATTCATAGGTATCAGTCCAATCGAATCTTTTGGTTCTGTTTCATGGCAAGCCATCTCCATTGCCAAACACTCCTTCAACTCCATCACCACATAATTCATGGTTGGCCTTCTTGCTGAAGTGCGAGACACACAACCCATTGCTAATTCTATAGCTTTCCAAATAGAATTAACATCAAAATCTCCCCGTAGCCTCGGATCAGCAATCATCCTAACATCCCCATTTGCAAGCTTGGAACTAACAAATTGAATTATGTAAATACTGTCATTGCCTTTTGGTATTGCTGCCCTGCCTGTGATAATCTCCAAGAGAACAATTCCAAAGCTATAGACGTCACTTTTGTCTGTCAGCCTATTCGATGTGTAATACCTGCAATCCAAAATATAAGTAACATTTATCCCAATCATGAATAGTTCATATTAATGGTAATTAAAGATAAATCTGTTGTAAAGTATAAAACAGAAGTGAAGAGATAAATAAAACGAGTAGAACACACAGATATTACGTGGTTCAGCCACTAGGGCCTACATCCACGGCACAAAGAGCCCAAATGGCTACATCACTTTTATAATACTCTCTCAATTCATGCACAATACAATGGTGGAGGCTCCTTCATATAGGAGAAGAAATTATGAGAATAGAAAGAATTAGAAAATAGGAAATAAGGAGGATTTTTCTCCACTGATTTCTCTACTAACACCAAATCTTCAATAATAGGAAACAACAAAGATTTTCCTCCACTGATTCCTCCATTAAATCTTCAATACTCCCCCTCAAGTTGGAGCATGAATGCCCAACTAGCCATTGAGATGACGAGTAACAAGAAGTGTGAATGATGAAGAGAGAAGAGAGAAGACGAAGAACAAGCTACCGAACACACCGACAGCCCAAACAAGTCAACAAAAAACTACCGGAGACACGGCAAAGGCGAGGACAATGCTACCGAACACACCAGCAGCCCAAACATATTGATAAAAACTGCCGGAGACACGGCAAAGATAAAAACAATGCTACCGAACTCACCAGCAGCCCAAACAAGTCAATAAAAACTGCCGGAGACACAACAAAGGCAAATAATATTACTGCCGAACAAGCCAGCAACCCAAACAAGTCACAAATAGCACCGAAAAACCCTTAGCAACATCAGATGCTAAGGGAATGCCCCAAAATAGGGGTCCGAACCTTGGAAGAGAAATTAGGCTCTGATACCATGTTGTAAAGCATAAAACGGAACTGAATAGATAAATAAAACGAGTAAAACACACAGATATTATGTGGTTTAACCATTAAGGCTTACATCTGCGGCACAAAGAGCCCAAAGGGCTACATCACTTTTATAATACTCTCTCAATTCATACACAATACAATGGTGGAGGCTCCTTTATATAGGAGAATAAATTATGAGAATGGAAATAATTAGAAAATAAGAAAAAAAGGAGGATTTTTCTCCATTGATTTTTCTAGTAACACCAAATCTTCAATAATAGGAAACACCATCAATTACTGAAATATTTTCCTCCACTGATTCCTCCATTAAATCTTCAATAAAATTGATTGTCTAATCCACGTGTTCTTAACAATTTAATTAATTTTTTGAAGGGAAATAAAATTCTTTACACATGATTTTCATAGATGTAGACAAATCACATGGGCATTTTGCACCAAGAAAAAGGCAGAATAGAGATTTTTATTAGTTTTGTAATTAGATTGGAAATTTGTTAGTCAACTCAAATAGTTTTAAAAAGTTGGTAGATTGAGAAATACCAATAACTTTTTTTTTTTTTCATTGGCAAGAAAAGTCACGCATCCATTTGTCTCTACGGGAATTCGAACCCTCACCATTCCTTTAGAAAATTGAGGAGATACCAATAGGCTACAGTGTTTGGTAGTGATAAATACCAATAATTAGCTAATAACTTTTTAAACTTTTATAAACAATATCATAGTTTGACTTGTTTATTTAATGAACAACCTCGAGTTGATTGTGTAAGGGAAATACTTACTCAGGATCAAGGTATCCAGGAGTACCGGCAACAACTGTTGATACATGAGTGCCACCTTCAGTGGGAATAACTCTGGAAAGCCCAAAGTCAGCAAGTTTGGCATGAAAGTTTTCATTTAATAAGATATTGGTAGTCTTCACATCCCTGTGGATTATTGGAGGCTTACAACCATGGTGCAGATACTCCAATCCTTCAATTCAAGTCCACATCTTATTAATCAGTTACACTTGCATCAAAAATGTAAAATGACTAGTAGATGGAAAAGAAATGGAATTCATCTGCTTTCTAACCTAGTGCTGCATCTACTGCTATCTGAAGCCTTTCTTCCCAACTCAAAAAATTTGAATTTCTACCTGCATCCACAAATTAGTAATTTAAAATTGCGATTAACCAGAGAAAAGTGTCAAATGGAACTTCAAAAGGAGAAAAATAAGACGCTGTATCATAGGTGAGAAGAATTGCATGCGCGTTGTTACGAAAAACACCACGAACATTCACCACACAAAGAGTGATTAGGTGTTGACAAAACTTAACCCTCTAGATCAATAAGTAATGCCTTTAGAGGTTTTAACCAACTGTCGATATCTCATCCTCAAGACATTACACTTAGCATTATTGTCATAGCATTAAAGATGGAACAATCTTTGATTGTTAAATGCACTCAATATACTAAGTATCTGTTGGTAAAATATATGCTTAATGTGACTTTTAAGATATAACAACCTTTATACTAATATGTCATGAGATAATTAACAATATGCTAATAAATCATTAATTAAATATGCAACTCTATATTTAATTAAATATACAAAATAAAGCAATAAAATAATAATAATATGCAAGGAATGAACCTGGACCGAGGCTAGTATTGGATACTATGTCCTTAAGACAGATTCGCCCCGCTATGGTGCTAACGGACTCAGTGGCGTCTATCTCCCAGGATACAACGGTCTACATCCACCAGTAGCAGCACTACAAACTCGTGGATACGGCGAACCTTCTCCGTGTAATACTCTCTCTGACTAAAAAATGCATCTATATACTATATAAATGCTGAATTGGGTGTAATCCGAACCAAATGGTTCGGACCAATCTTAATATAGCTCGATGAAATTGGATTAGGATCGAAGTGGCTCGAACCACTTAACCTAAGGTTTGAACCCACTTGGGTTGGGTTCTAGTCTAGAGAGGGAGATAGAAGAAAATGAAAATGAATGACTTGCAAATGATCTAAAGGGGGGTATTTATAGAAATAGAAATGCCTTTTCGGATGGGGTGCGTCTTTTCATCATTGGACACAACCATTGCAATAGGTTGCAATGGTTCACATGGTGTCTATTCACCATTAGACACATCCATTCCAATAGGTTGCAATGGTTCACATGGTGTCTGTTCACCAATAGACACATCCATTCCAATAGGTTGCAATGGTTCACATGGTGTCTGTTCACCAATAGACACATCCATTCCAATAGGTTACAATGTGCCTTTTCGAGTGGGTGCAACTATGGGTTATGATGGTTCGGAAAAGGTGTAACCCTTTGGAAAAAACTAAAAGTGGCTTTTTAATTTAAAAGGTGTAACCCTTTAGAAAAAACTAAAATATGGTTTTTTAATTTAAAAGGTGTAACCTTTTAGAAAAACTAAAAAGTAGTTTTTTTAATTCAAAAAACCAACCACCCAAAAACCCTACTCATTTGTGAAACCCATTTAAATAAGCCCAGCCCAAAATTAGGCCCAATCCAAAATTCCAAAAAAAAAATAATCTGGACTTTACAATTAGGCCCAAGCCCAAGCCCAAATCCTAAACTCAGCTTATTTAAATTTCAATTTGTTTCAACATTTTTTCCATGTGGGACAAACACTTCCCACATTTTGCATACCCATTTAGGCTTATCAAAACACCACACTTTGGAGCTAATTTCTCATTCATCCGGAAACGGATTTCAGAAAGTAAATATACCACATTCATCTCCTTACGGAGAGAAACGCGCTTGTCTAGAGATCCGTAAAAAATTATTAACGGAATCTATTTCAAATCTTATCCAAAGTTTATGTTTTTAATGCCCCCGTTTCCAACAATCCCCCACATGAATGGAAATTTGCGTAAAATGCAAAAGATGATTATGCAGACACTAGAGAGAGTATAATCGAAAAGTTACTGCATCAGGATAGGTGGCTTTTGGCTTTGAACCTTCCCTAGTGTATTGCTATCGGATTTACTGGCTAACTAGTGAACGCGATGTCTTGAACTGTTTAGCCGTTTGTGTAAACCAAGACAATAACAAACACACAGTAGCTTTCCTCACAAAGTTGGTTCTCATTGTTGTGTTCATTTTGGCCCTGAACAAGTCCTGGTATTCAATGAGTGCTCTAGAAAACTTAGCCTTTATAGTTCTCATAGAAGCGGCCTTACTTCACACTCATATAGGTGACTTCTTATTAAGAGTATCCTACCAAACCCCACTTGAATTTTCAAGGTATAAGAGTCATTAAAAGCGTAGCTTATCCTGATCATTGTTGTAGGCAGCACTGTCTCATCATAGAAATGGGTAGAAGATTTATATATTCCCAGTGCTTCTGGTGAGTCACTCAGAATTTCTGTTGTCCCTTTGAACCTAGATCTTGGGATCTCCAATCAGCTAGGTTGGGTTTCCATTAAGGTGACTGGTTAGCTTTCGGCTTTAAACCCCATTCCCCTCGATGAACTGTACAATTGCTCTCTAGTACAACCTTCAATTTTATATGTGGCCACAAGGTTGTGTTTAGAAATATTACACTCTGCAGAGATTTCTCCAGGTGAGAGCAACTGTATACTTTGTGCCCTAAAATTGCTTATTGTTAGCAATATCATTTTCTTTAGTGGCACAGGTGTAGACTTACTTTGAATTTTCCTCTAAGTGAAGTCTATTGACTTCCCTATTTGATTTATTCAAAGTTTCTAACTTTGAGTTATATTAAGAACATAGAACTACACCTTTAATATAAAAGACATATCCACTATTGGATTTGAAGTCTTTAATATCCCATATCCAGATTGCATCACTGTTACACCTCCAATTTAGTTAGATACCTCGATCTATGCAATATTGGATTTAGGGTGTATCTCAACTACCCAATTTATTATTTTTTAGTGATCCGATCCTGAATTGAAAATGTGCAATTAAACACAGTTATTAAGTTGCCTTACAATCTCAACCAATGATATACTTTGGTTAGTATATATATTTGAGATTTACATCTACAAAAGTTAGCTAGGCTTTTGTTATCATAACTAGTATTATCTCAATCTCACTCTATTGAGAATATACTATATTATCAGATGTTAAATCTTTCATATCAAATATACCAATCAGTATATCATTTATATTTTAAGGCATACAATGACTTACGCATCACATTTATGTCATTGTCTCGGTAGTAGCTTTAATCCATTCAAGGACTTATAAGCTTACACACTTGACTTTTCAACTGGAACAAATAACTCAGCACTTCAACTGAAAAAAGAACTCTTCTAGTTGTTCCATAATATTTTCCTCATAGAAAATAATATGCACATACTATTGTTATAATAATATAAATGATTTTTGGTTCTATCATAAAGCTCTTAGGACTTGGAACCCCCCACATTTATAAGTATTTCTGTTAAGATGAGTGACTCGTAACAAATTTCATCTATGGATAATATCTCCCCACAACTTTGAGATAATCCTGAAATTTTATCTCTAATGTATTTATTATGATTTTTCAACTATGAAAGTACCATATATTAAATACTTCACCTCATCTACCTTTTCAAGGTTCCATATTCGCTTCTCAACAAGCATATATAACAGTCTCTAGTGCATATGTACTCACTTTATCTTTAGCATATTCTTATAATAATTCACCGACAATACCGTGAATTAATGCTAAAGATATTAATTACAATGGGCTCGAATTAATATATTTGATTTTACTTCTTTTATATTTATAAATTGAGTTATTCATATTTAGGTTCATGTTAAGTCAGTCATATTAACATGTTATAACCTTTCATGTGTCACACATCACATAACTCAATCATTTAAGCAAATAATTATCTTATTATTTAAGCTTTGGATACAATCACTACAGAGTGAGCACTCACTTCTCAAGTATTATTACACACTCTTCTCATATCTCATTACTAAATTATTATGAGCACCTACTTTTCAGTTATTAACGCTAGCTTGAAGTTAAGTTTGTTTAGCTAGCAATTCTAGTAGCTCATACCTTTAGTACACACTTATCTAAGTGGTCTATCTTGGTAGTAGAGTAATTTGTTTTGAAGAATATTCTTCAAAAACTATTACTTTACAAGTAATATTATTCTCTCCTACATGAGCAACTATGATGAATAGCTCAAATAGCTTATGGCTAAAATAGCTACTCGTCACCCTCGTGTTCTTTTTTTTTTTTTTTTTTTTCACTACCAAGTTGAGAGCTAGAACCAACTAACAGATTTTCCATCTTCCTCTTAGGTTCTGTGCACCTCATTAATCATTTTAACTTATAGCTAATCTAACTAGTTTGCAACTTAGTAACATTTTAGCTTTCAGCTAAATTGTACATTATAGCTAACTAGCTTGATTTAGCTTGTCTCAGTGTACTTGCTTACTGTATCCATAACATTTTCCATTAAACACTTTAAAGTTGTTGAAAAATCTTATCTCAGTGTACTTGCTTACTGTATCCATAACATTTTCCATTAAACACTTTAAAGTTGTTGAAAAATCTTATCTTATTCAGCCCATTCACAGCTATACGTGTCTTTAAACACTAGTATAGATCTTTTTCCCTTGACTATCAAGAGAATTGACATAGCTAGACTAGTCAATTTTTGTCTGTTGTATTAAATACACAAACCAGTCATGAACTCATACAAATTAATAATATCAAACATTAAATCAACTATATTATAAAATTAAATTACTATGCACATTAAGTAATTCTACTACATAGTTTAATATTATAATCTCAATTAAAAGTAAGCACTTATATAAATAATATTGAACTCAGATAAATAATATTATACCATATGATTAATTATATCACATAACTAATCTAAGAAAAAAGATTTGTGGCTCATTCTCCAATAAACATGCTAGAAAATTAGGACCAAAAGATGTAGACGTTCTAGCCTACAAGAAAATGATATGCACTGATGTTATAACCTATCAAAGGTTTTATGTAACGATCCACTCCATCACATAGTATGATATTGTCCACTTTGGGATCCAGCCCGCACGATTTTATTATTGGATTTTATCTCAAAAAGCCTCGTACCAATTGGAGATAACACCACTACATAAAATCACTTTACCTTTCCCTTACGTAGGTGGTGTGGGACTGTGCACCTGTAACTTGCTCAATGTGATAACATGTCAGTGCCTCTTGCACCCGCCCACGGCACACCCACCCACAAGGTTGCCACATTATAGGTCTCACTTTAACTTTTCATAGGAGTAAGATCTGCAACCTTAAATAGACACCCCCACACTTTTAAGAATTTATAGAAAGGTTTTCAACATTTCCATAATTCATATGATGTCACATTTCTAAGGTTTCATCTTTGCTTCGTGGCAAATACACATAACGGTATCTTGTGCAACCAATGATAAAAGTAACGAAGTACTTTTTTCCACCTCTAGTTGGTACATGTTTAAGGTAATGTCATATACTTCATAATATCATATTACAAAATTAAATAATTCAACCAATATTGAATAATTCAATAATCTACTTATATAACATGCTTCAATTTCACGTAATATTGAATGCATTAATATTTAACATATTATCATATAATAATGTCTATAACATTATTTTATCATATCTCAACTATTAGTATAATATCTACTTATTTATATCTTAAATAGAAATATATAATAAAATCTACGCAAGGAAGGATTCTGTCTTAAGATTGTTTGTAAAATATATGCTTAATGTGACTTTTAAGATATAACAACCTTTATACTAATATGTCATGAGATAATTAACAATATGCTAATAAATCATTAATTAAATATGCAACTCTATATTTAATTAAATATACAAAATAAAGCAATAAAATAATAATAATATGCAAGGAATGAACCTGGACCGAGGCTAGTATTGGATACTATGTCCTTAAGACAGATTCGCCCCGCTATGGTGCTAACGGACTCAGTGGCGTCTATCTCCCAGGATACAACGGTCTACATCCACCAGTAGCAGCACTACAAACTCGTGGATACGGCGAACCTTCTCCGTGTAATACTCTCTCTGACTAAAAAATGCATCTATATACTATATAAATGCTGAATTGGGTGTAATCCGAACCAAATGGTTCGGACCAATCTTAATATAGCTCGATGAAATTGGATTAGGATCGAAGTGGCTCGAACCACTTAACCTAAGGTTTGAACCCACTTGGGTTGGGTTCTAGTCTAGAGAGGGAGATAGAAGAAAATGAAAATGAATGACTTGCAAATGATCTAAAGGGGGGTATTTATAGAAATAGAAATGCCTTTTCGGATGGGGTGCGTCTTTTCATCATTGGACACAACCATTGCAATAGGTTGCAATGGTTCACATGGTGTCTATTCACCATTAGACACATCCATTCCAATAGGTTGCAATGGTTCACATGGTGTCTGTTCACCAATAGACACATCCATTCCAATAGGTTGCAATGGTTCACATGGTGTCTGTTCACCAATAGACACATCCATTCCAATAGGTTACAATGTGCCTTTTCGAGTGGGTGCAACTATGGGTTATGATGGTTCGGAAAAGGTGTAACCCTTTGGAAAAAACTAAAAGTGGCTTTTTAATTTAAAAGGTGTAACCCTTTAGAAAAAAACTAAAATATGGTTTTTTAATTTAAAAGGTGTAACCTTTTAGAAAAACTAAAAAGTAGTTTTTTTAATTCAAAAAACCAACCACCCAAAAACCCTACTCATTTGTGAAACCCATTTAAATAAGCCCAGCCCAAAATTAGGCCCCCAATCCAAAATTCCAAAAAAAAAATAATCTGGACTTTACAATTAGGCCCAAGCCCAAGCCCAAATCCTAAACTCAGCTTATTTAAATTTCAATTTGTTTCAACATTTTTTCCATGTGGGACAAACACTTCCCACATTTTGCATACCCATTTAGGCTTATCAAAACACCACACTTTGGAGCTAATTTCTCATTCATCCGGAAACGGATTTCAGAAAGTAAATATACCACATTCATCTCCTTACGGAGAGAAACGCGCTTGTCTAGAGATCCGTAAAAAATTATTAACGGAATCTATTTCAAATCTTATCCAAAGTTTATGTTTTTAATGCCCCCGTTTCCAACAGTATCCTTGTCAAAGACACATTGAAAATCCTGCCACCCCTAAAATTCTTGGAGTTTATCTGGTTCTTCCCCTCTTTCTGGCCACTTCATTTTTTTGGATACCATTTTATTGCAAGTGGTGTCTACATATTTATTATTGTCTGTTGACTTGTATTTAAGAAACCAAATTATGCATACCTGATAGATGCTTTTCTAAGTCTCCATTAACCATGTATTCATAGATAATTCCCAATTTGGTGCCTTCATTGCAGTATCCAACTAGCGAAGTTAAGTTTTTATGATGAACGCTCATAAGAAGGTTGGCCTGCAACATAAAGCCACATTTAGTTCAACATAAACTACTATAATTTGATGAGCTCAAATTTTGTGAGGTTGTACTAAACAATAACTTCATGAAAATGTCTTCCGTGTGTATTGATGGAGTAGAAAGTTGTTTGAGTTTTGCAACTTACCTCAGTTTGGAATTCCTTGTACCCTTGAATTGATGATTCAGAGAGCATCTTTACAGCCACTTGAGAGTCACCTATATAGCCATGGTAAACTGTTCCAAATCCTCCTTCCCCAATAACCCTCTGAAAATTGTTGGTAATACTCGATACCTCAGAGTATGTAAATTTTTTATTCTTTACCACCAAGGACGACCCTTCTGTTTGGTTTGTTTCAGCATCTACCTTTCTGACTACTGAGATCACATCAAATTCAATAAAGATACTTCAATTGAGAAAAACTTTTACTATGAAATTTGGGTGTGATTTAGAAAAATCTCTGTTCAATTATGGGTCATGGTTCTCGTACCTTGTTTTCTCCTTTTTATGACCCATAAAGCAGCCACAATTGCAGTTAATAGCAGGGAAATGGAAACAACGGATGCTACTATTGGAACAACAACTTTGTTCTTTTTCCTCTGTTTGCATGGAACTGATTGACAAGAATTTGTGTTTTCACCTCCACTTCCATTGAAGCTGTTTTTGATGATCAATGTTATTTTTATCATTATTCATAAATGTTAATCGCATCCTATACTATATTGGCTATAACTATTTATACCCTTAAGGATCTAATAACTATGAATTGTGTTTTAACCACAAAAAATAAAATAAAATAAAATAAAACCTATGAATTGTGTAGATATTTGATGATTCACTACTTCAAAGAGAAATAATACAAACAATTGTTTTTTTTCCCCTTCTTGAAAGCACCTTTGGCGCTGAAGGGGGAGTTCATTCAAAATTTTGGTACGTTAGGTTCATGGTTTTTAAGAAAAGGGCAAACCTCAATGATAATGATCCATTCTTTGACCTTGCAAGTAGCTCTGCTGGAATTGAACCAGTGAAGTTGTTTCCACTCAAGTTTCTGCAAAAAAAGCAAACATGACCTCCATTTCTAATACAAATAAACTTATATTTGAGTCCCATTCCCAAGTAACTTACAAGACTTTTAAGAAAGTCAGTTTTGAGAGAAATTCAGGCACCATTCCGGTTAAGTTGTTGTTTGACAAATCCCTGAAATAAGCATAGTTTAAATTAGTTTATTTCTAAAGTAAATTGGATTTGAGTTGCATATATCATTATGAAGTTGACATCTTAATTGTTCATGCGAGACTAACATATATACTTACAAAGTTTGTATCATTGTCAGATCGGACATGTCAGGAGCTATCTCCCCTGTCAATCCACTTGATGACAAATTTCTAATTACAAAAATAAATAGATTTGTTCAGTGAGTGTTATGATATAAAGTTCATATGGTACTTTTATAGCACGCACACTTACAAAGATATGATCCTTGGGGGATCAGAACCATCATAACTACAAGTGACGCCAACCCAAACATAATCTTCAGGGGCACATGGATCTGCTTGCCAGTTTCTTTTCAGTCCATATATTGATTTGATGCTCATGATAGCAGCAACTAAATTTCCAAAAATATTTGAGAAAGAGGTTGAACATGAGAAGAAAAGGCACAAAAATGAGACTGAAAAAATAATAGTTGGCAAGATCAAACCTTCTTTGTCAATTGTTTGTAAATGTAGAAGCTGTTTCACAGTAAAAATCTCGATGGCGTTGATGATGGGTGGAAGGGTTGAATTATCGGTTTTGGTGAGTGAAATGTTGAACATTGAATGACTCTCAGCTGTTGAGCTGTATACTGTTAATGTGGATAAATAAGAGGGAACAACATGCTTTGCATACCATAGTTTCCCATTTATATAAATGTCGAATTCTCTGGACTGGTTGGGTTGCAAGATTTCAACTTCAGCAAAGTACATGTAGATATAAACTTTGTCAGTGTCATTTTTAGGCTTCCACCAGAAGTACAACGTTTCATTAGAATCTATTGGCATAATGGCGGTGCTCATGACAACAGATGGTGGCTGGAATAGGTTGGAACCTAGAGCATCAACCGTGGACGATGTACTTAACACCGCCGTGGTGTTACCCAAATTAAAGGGCTTCCATATTCGATCATAAACATCGTCTTTGTACCTAAGAGAGAGATTAATAATGTCATAGCAAGATGTTTAATTCAGTACTTAGAAATTAAAAATATTATACATCTGATTCTTCCTAGTTCTTAACAAAAAGACTATTAACACAAAAAGATTACCTGACAAATTGATTTGTTATTGAACCAAAATCCCAACGCCCGATGAGGTTTAGTGATCCTAATGTAGTTTCATACAAAGAATTATCTAAAGGTCTTATCTCTATTGCTGATATAAAAGGTGTTCCAAGGCCTGTGTTTATGAGACAGACATGTATGTAGTCCATGGAAGGAACATGTGTGATCTCCCTCCAAATGATAGAGGATGAATTATCCACTTTCACTGTGTCCCAGAAATCAACTCCTAGGTGCAAATCGAACTCTGGCAATACATTTGGAGCATCATAGTTCCCATAAAAGAACCTTGCCCTAATCAAAAATTTATTACCACTCCCTCTTGCAAGTCTTGTAGTGTAGCAATTTCTGGTCCCTTCAGGAAAGCTTCTAACATACAAGAACTGCTGTTCAAGTGTGTCAGTCTTAAATTCAGGGGATACAGATTTGCTTACACCAGTGTCCACAAAACCTGCATCTGAAATATAGTATATCCCTGTTGTTCCATCTGTGTAGTTTGAATCTTTAGGTATTCCACAATCTATGCTTATGAAACCTAACACACACACACACACACACACACACAGAGGTTAGCTATATGTTTAGTGTAACAACAATATATTGATTGTATTGAAATTTCAAGAAAGTGTTTGCAAACCTGAAGGGACCTGTGCATGAACCACAACTATAAGGGGAAAACCCCCTAGAAATGCAAGGAGGAATAATTTTGATATGCTCATCATTCTATGCATAATAGTCACAGGACCTTTCATCTTATACATTCCTACCTCAAATGTATATATGCCAACAAGCTGCATGCATGTTGTGATTTTTATAATGGATTATAATCTCTCAGCTCCTCTGTCAATCCTTCTGTTACAATCAATGAAGATGTAGTAGATTGAAGTTTGTCAATGAGGCAAAAAGTCAACAAATTAGTTATTTATGTATAAACATATACATACATGATATATGCTGATTATTTATTACATAATTTTGTGACTTCGTCAAACTTCTACAGATTATTAAAGAGTAGACTTCACTGTCTAAGTAACATGTAAGGACAATAAAAAGAATTAATTTAGGCACCTACATGGAAAGTAATTTGGTGCTCTAATAGTCATGCCTCATCAAGAAGTGGAGTACAACTGTACAAGTGAAGCACATGCAGGAATGTCAAATCCTTTGGTTGGTGATAGGAAGAATGGGTCAAGCTGATACTTGACTAAAGAATTAACTTCAAAGATCCAGCTTCATCAACAAGTTCTTAGTCATTTACTTTTTCTATAGACAGCTAGGATCTGAGTTTTTCCAAAGAATTTTAGTGTACAACATGGAAAAAAAAAAGATTCCTGGACAAGTGAGCAAATTGACTTTGAACTTAAGAGAGAGCCAATAAGTCCTTCATCTTGCTCTCCCCTTTCATACAGGTCAATGCTTTTTTATAGTGAAAGAATTATTCAAACAAGTGTTTAACAGGATTTCTCTAAATGGGTTAAAAAAAGTTTGGAAATGTAGTACACCCACCACCAATATAAACCCTTCTTAACCTGGATTGGAGATTGGGTTAACCTGGATTGGAGATGGGTTAAAAAGTTACAACTCCACCACGGGTCTCACAGTCCCATTTCCACTTTCAACCCTACGACCAATACCATCCTGGATTGCGGGGTGGGAGGATCGGCGGGGCAAAAGGGCGGCGAGGACCAAGGCGAAACCGTTGGCTGCGGAAGCTATTGCGGTGCTTTCCATTCGGGTTGTGGTTCCGAGAACGAGGATTTGGGTGTTAGGGTTTATCATTTTGAGTTGGTCGGCAATAGCGACGGCTGCATAGACAACATGCGAATTTGAAGACTCTGAATGAGATGAAAACAGAGTGCTCAGACAGAGGATACACACACACACACACACATATATATATATATATATTTGTGTATATAGAGAGAGGGAAAATGAGAAGAGTGAAGAAATTACAACGGTCTTTTTTGTGTAGTTAAGAACGTGGAGAGTTAAAAGGTATGTTTGGATTAAGAACGACATAGAGAGATTAAAAAAAAAAGAAAAAAAAGAAAGGATGGCGTGAATTGTGTTTGGGTAGGTTAAAATAGGATAAAAGAAAAAAAAAAAAAAAAATAGGGAGAGAACTATTTATCCTTATTACTCATTTTCTATCTCTCTAAAAATGAGAAAATAGGAAGGGAAATGATAATATTTAAGTAGTATTTTTATAATTTCGAAATTACCCTTAATAATTAAAAGGAAGAAATTATTATTCCACTCATATCTCATTTATTTTAAAGGATGTGATAATAATTTAATTGTTATCTTTTCTCTTTTTTTTTTTTATTCTTTATCACATCCAAGCAAGAATACTATAATATTTTTTTTTTAATTCAAACATAAATAAAAATTATAACTAATACTATAATTTCTTTTCTTTTCTCTCTTACCTATCCAAATGCACCCTAGAAAGAAAGAGAGAGTGTGTGGGCGTGTTTGTGATTTGCAGAGAGACTCTCAGAGAGGGAGGAGAAGGACTTAACTTTTCAATGGGTTGTCGGATTAACCCATTAGACTAAGGGCAATATTTGTCTATTCATAGCACACCCACTACTATATATAATTATATTATATTTTATTTTTATATATATATTAGTAAAAAATTTATATAAGGTCACTCCTAAAATTTTTAATTTCTAAAATTATTATTATTTTCTTTTTTCTTTTACTCTTTAAATTTCTTTAATTTTCATTAAAAAATAAATTAAATTAAATTAAATTTCACTTCTTCAATCAAACTCTAATTTTTTTCCTTTCAAAATTCTCATTTTTTTTTTTTTTTTTTCTTCCCTACTTCTTAAAATTATTCATTTTCACTTAGGTATCTTTTACCTTAATGAGGTAACACTTTTAGATACATAGGTAATACTTTTTGTGCATCTGATACCACTTTTATTTAGGGCATAAATGTACTATTTTTATTCACATAGGTACTACTTTTTGCGCATCAAGTATCATTTTTTTGTGCAACACAAAAAGTGGTGCTTATTGACAAAAAGTGATATATGCATGCACAAAAAGTAGTACCTATGTGCCTAAAAGTGGTACCACTTCAGTAAGGGTAAATGGTAAACAGTGTTTTTCTATATCTTCATTTTTTTTAAATTATGAGATTTTGACTCCATCAAATAATAAGTATGGATCATTAGTACCATTTACATGTAATAATCTCAAAAATTTATATAACGTCACTCCTAAAATTTTTAATATCTATAATTTATATAACATATCATATTAGTTAATGTTGATTTCTCAAAATATGTGCTTGCAAACCTGAAGGGACCGGAGCACGAACCACAAGCACAGTAAGGGAAAAACAAGCAAGAAATGCAAAGAGGAAGCATTTTGGCATTCCATCACTCTATTTTGCAATGATTTCACGATGAGGGTAAAAATTACCTCCAGTGAAATAGTGTATCATTTTTTTCATTTTTAAATGAGTGGCTCAGAAATGGCCACGTCACTTATGTTTGGAATGCACAGTAAAAAAATATTGGAATGCACGTAAAAAAATGTTGAAATTTACTTTTACTTAAAAAATAAAAATAAAAAATAAAAATAAAAAATAAAAAAAAGAATGAAGAAAATAGACTACATTGCAAATGGAGAGGAGCCAGGACCCTTGTCCAAAGGATGGATGAAGATGAGAGGAAGCCATTTTTTTTTTTTGAAATACAAAAGTGCTGATCATATGAGATAAAATATTTGACCTACTCTGTCAATCCTATTGTACCTTACAAGTACGATGACATAAATATACGTATAACCTTTTGTCAACTGGTGTACAAGTCAAACGGATGCTGAGATTTTAAATTATATTTCTTTGCCTATGGATAATGACTCTTATTGTCATTATAAATTTGAGCAAAACTTTGATAATGCCAAAGAAAATGAGAGAAAATAAGAAAATGATATACTGATATCATTGTGTAAGTTCTACTCATTTATCTATATATGTTATATATTGTCATGAACCATCTCATACTTATGCTTTGCAGGCTCTTGATGTTTGCAATTTTCATAATGCTTGAACACAAGTAAGATTTGTTTAAGATTTTCGAATCCAATTATAATCATAATTAATATTGGGTATAAGTCGGGCTGGCCCAACCTAATCCAATTTTGAATTGAGATCGGGTTGGATCAGCCCAATTTTTTTTTTTTAGATCAGCCCAACTTGCATACTAAGTAAGAAACATCATTATAATGGTTTTGCTAATTGGGAGTAGAATTGACTTTCCTTTTTAAATTGACATGTCTTGACCACAACTGAATGTACTAAAAGAAAGCTTGGGAATGTCATGTCCTTTGGTTGGTGATGGCGAGAATGGGTCAATACTAACAACTTGGCTTATTATCTGGTAAAATATTAGTTGTGTTAGCCATTTAAGTTTATAGTTTATTCAAGGGTAATTTACGGTTATCTCCCTTGCAGATATAATAAATTATGTTTACCTCTCTTCTAATTTGCATAATTTCGTTTACCTTTCTTAATTTTAAAACTTTGTAACAAATACATCCTTCCGGTCGGCTTCCGGCACAGTCAAAAGCAGTCAACACTGACATCATGATTATTCACCCTCAAAATGACTATACTACCCCTGAAATGTTTGTGAAGACATTTCTGTCCTCCTAAATGAAATTACGTTTACCTCATTTTACACCGAGCTTCTCAAAATACATGTTTGCTCTCTCTCTGTATATATTTATAAATATACACACTGTGGAAGTTCCAAATTGATCCAAGAGAGAGGACTGATAACAGATCCACCGGTTTGAGCTCCAATCGGGTGACGATGACCTCGAACACAGGCATCGAGGCGGCCGACAATGACGACACCCCTCTCCAGCGCCTTCCCCTCGGCAACAACCTTGTTTGGGTCATATGCTTTGCCTTTGGTTTTATTTCGTATCAGTTCAGTTTCCTAGTATTTTTGTTTTTATGAAGGTTAGATCTTATCTGAATGTATTTGATGTTGAACCAAATGGAGAGGATAGAGTAAGGAAGAGGATAAAGGATCAGTATTGGAATGAATGAAGGTTGCAGAAGTGATAAAATGATTTGCTTTTCTGGGTTTGGTTTTGGGGTTTTTATTGGTGTGTATAAAATTTTTGGAGAGAGAAAATGGGGTGCTATATGATATTATAGAATATCCTATGGGCACAACAGTAATATTGCATTGGAGATATTTTGGATTAAAAATGCATTAAAATATAAGAGTAATTTTAGTATTCCGGTCACCGGATTTGATCGCGGATCAAGGTAAACGAAATTATGCAAACCAGAAGGGATGCAGGCGTAATTTGACATATCTACAAGGGCGGTAACTGTGAATTACCCTTTATTCAAAGAGATCCACCCATTACCCATATCAAGAAGATTTTGGTCCTTTGTTTATCTTAGGCAAGAAACATTGCATCTCATAAAAAACCGATGAGAATATATGGATAAACAGTCCTTAGGTGAGGTGATTAAATTTTACTCTTAAAGTTCATATATAAGTACTTCTATCGTGAATTTGGTTTGGTATCTGGTCTGATGACTTTCTATTTGATGTTCATGCCTCACTACATTTATGCAAGTCCAGATATAGATTCAGTCCAGCAACATATGTGTTTCCTACTAAAGCGAAATGCAAATTAGTTTTTCAAAATGGTTAGTATATATGCTTTATCTGCCTTATGTATTCACTGAAACTATAGATGTTTTCTTTGTTTGGGTGCAACTTCTGTGGCCATCTCTTAGTTTGTTTATGTTGGGGCTTGACTGCTGACCGTGTTTGTCCATTCCTTTTTCTCTCTAGAAAAGGAATGAAGCATCCTTCATCTCTATTGCATGTTTTGGTAACTCCTAGTTTAGCATAGTTATTATGTAGTTCTAAACATCCAATGTAATTGTATCCCTTCATCACTATATACCTACAGTTATAGCCATTTCTCGTCAAAAAAGAACAACAACAACAACAACAACAACAACAACAACGTCTTTTCTCTTTTAACCTTAGTCCTTAGAGAGGAGTAGACTTAATAGACTGAATAGTTCACAGGTAGAGTACATGTTGGCACTACATCAACCTCCTTGGGTGAGAAAGAACTCACCCGTGAGTTTGCAACAAATCTCTGCATGATATTCGGACAATTCTTGAACACTGAAACTAGGATGAGTTGCTTGGGAGAGATCACCTTGGAAGCATTATCATTGAATTTCCTAAAAGCTCGGCATGGACCAACCCTTTCTACGTACTTGAGCTGGTTATAAGATCCGGAGGGAAAGCTAGCTTTCTTTTTGCATGCATGCATGGTATAGAATGCATTAAGAAGAAAATGGAGATGAAAATTTATGTGGAGATGGAGAATTACAATGATTGGGATATCTATTGTATGAATAATAAATTTGGATTACAAGAGGGAACTACAGTAAGCTAAAAATTATAAAGAGAGAACGATTATTATTAAGATAATACAATTTGTATACCCGAGCACACAAAGTGCTAAAAAATGTGTAAATTAATATAAACCCTTGTGAAACAATAAGCACAAAATCACAAAATTTCCTGTCACTACCATATAACAGCTCCAACCAGCAAGAAAACGAAAAATGCTCCCCTGTTTCTTGATTTGAGCTTCCCTCCTATCCATTTGATCACCATTTTAGCTTCCTTTCATTATCACTAGTGCAATTTTAACAATTAGTTACATTTATGTAAGCAATAAGTAATATAATTGATTGTTAGAGGTTGGCTGAAGATTAAGAGAGATTGAATATTAACAGTTGGCTTTTGCATATAAAAACTGCAGAGACTTTACTCCTCCTCTTGAGTAACCCACAATTTGCAACCAAAAAGTACATAAATAAATAATACACACAAACAAACAAACACCACCACCAGGATTAGAACTTCAGGATCATGATAGACTCGAAAGTTCCCTACACATACTTAACATGACTTGGTGAATATATGAACACCAATAAAGTGATAGACCACCAGAATCCAGCACGAATAACTTTTTAGCAGCGATATCACCTCGCCATGGGACTCATTCCACTCTCCAAATTCATTGGCATCATTCCAATTGAATCCATTGATTTATATGAATCATGTTGAGCTACCTCCATTGCCAAACACTCCTTCAATTCCATCACCACATGATTCATTGTTGGCCTTTTGGTGGAAGTGTGAGATACACAAGCCATTGCTAACTCAACCGCTTTCCAAGCAGAATTAACATCATAATCTTTCTTTAACTTGGCATCAATGATACTTATAACATCCCTGTTAGCAAGCATGGAATTAACCCATTGAATTATGTGAGTGTTGTTAGGACTTCTGAGTATTGCAGGCTGACCTGTGATTATCTCCAAGATAACAATTCCAAAGCTATAGACATCACTTTTCTCAGTCAACCAATTTGATATGAAATACCTGCAAACCAAAATGTATGGAACATTTATCCCTTTTCATCGATTCCTTGTAACAATGTAATGAACTTCTTGAAACAAATGATTTCAAAATACCCTCGGGGAAAGAAACTTACTCAGGGTCAAGGTACCCAGGAGTACCAGCAACAATTGTTGATACATGAGTACCACCTTCAGTTGGGATAACTCTGGACAGTCCAAAATCAGCAATTTTGGCTTGGAATTTTTCATTTAATAAGATATTGGTAGACTTCACATCTCTGTGGATTATTGGTGGCTTACAACCATGGTGTAGATATTCCAATCCTTCAATTGCAGTCCACATTTTGGTTGGTAAATTTTAGAAGGAAAATAAGAAGTGAAAGGGAAAAGAAAAAAAATAGTATTCATCTAGTTACTAACCTTGTGCTGCATCTGTTGCTATTTGAAGCCTCTCTTCCCAACTTAAAACATTTTGATTTCTATCTGTGCCCATAATTTTTTAGTCTTTTTGTTAATTATAATAAGAACTTACAATCTTGAATACCTTTCTAGTTAGAAACTTTCGAGTGTGACATGTGTACCTGACAGGTGCTTTGCTAGGTCTCCATTAGCCATGTACTCATAGATGATTCCCATGTTGGTGCCTTCATTGCAGTACCCAACAAGAGAAGTTAAGTTTTTATGATGTACACTCATAAGAAGTTTGGCCTGCAATATAAAAACCACATTTAGTTTAGTGCTTACATTCATGTGCTCACAATTTCTATGAGATTTTCATAAATATTCATTTTATCTGGAATACTACTGGGAAAACAATATTTCATTGGAGTTACGCAAGTTACCTCCGCTTGGAATTCCTTATACCCTTGAATTGATGATGACGAGAGCATCTTTACAGCAACCTGAGTGTCCCCTACATGGCCATGATAAACTGTTCCAAATCCCCCTTTCCCAACAACCCTCTGGAAATTGTTGGTAATACTTTGGACCTCAGAGTATGCAAACTCTCGATTCTTTACATCAAAGGACACTTCGTTCTCTTTGCTTGCTACTAAGATCATATTGATCAATTAAACATAAGTAGTTTAATTAGGAAAACTGTTGATGATTACAAGTTCGATAATAAGATTTAAAACTTTTGATCTTTAAATTAGGAGAGTAATGGTTCTCATACCTCGTTTTCTCTTCCCAATGATCCATAAGGCAGATCCTATTGCAATTAAGAGTACGAACAATGCAGTAACAGATGCTACTACTGGAATAACAACCTTGTTTTTTTTCTTTTTGCAAGGAACAGACTGACAAGGATTTGTGTTTTCAGTAGCTCCATTTCCATCGATACTGTTTTTGATGACAAATGTTAAATTAAGAATCAATGAATGCTCATCATATATGCCATACATATCAACAGAATCTATTAAAAAATCCTAATGATTTAGCAACTTTAGAGTATGGAAATGCTTAATGATTATTTTGAAAAATGTTAAATCAAGCCAGAATCACAGAGAGAAGGTTTCTGGCATGAAAATGATTTTGCTAATTCTGGTCGTGGTTCTGCAAAAAGGGCAAACCTCAATAAGAGCGATCCATTTTTTGACTTTTGAAGGAGTTCTTCTGGAACTGAACCGGTGAAATTGTTTCCTCTCAAGTTTCTGCCAAAGGAGAGCAAACATGATGGGCTGTCTGATGTGTTGTTAAGATTACAATTCATATCACAGAGAAAAGTAACTTACAGGACTGTCAAAGAAGCCATTTGAGATAGAAAACTAGGCACCTGCCCTGTTAGTTTATTGTTTGACAAATCCCTGTAAAATTGTTTATTATTTATCATAGAGAATACAAAACTAGATTTGAATATCACTGGCAAGTTGACGTCTTATTAGTTCTTGTGAAATCGACATACTTACAAAGATTTTATCACCGTGAGATTGGATATGTAAGGAGAAATCTCCCCTGATAGTCCACTTGATGATAAGTTCCTAGATGGCAAGTTGAATAATTTTGTGAAGATATGGAATTGGATGGAAAATTTATTAAGCATCATTATTTCAAGGCAAAAACATACAAGGATGTGATCCTAGGAGGATTGAAACCGTCATAGCTGCAAGTGAGGCCAACCCACGAAAAAGCTTCAGGAGCACATGGATCTCCTTGCCAGTTCCTTTTCACTCCATACGTCGACTTGATGCCGTTGATACCAGCAACTAATATTCCAAAAATATAGGAGAGAGTTAGAACTTATGGAGAATTAAAAGGCAAATACAGGTAAGAACTATTTACCATCTGTATCATCTGTTTGAGAATGTATAATCTGTCTCACAGTATAAACCTCCATGCCATTGATGATGGGCGGAAGAGTTGAATTTTTTGTTTTGTTGATTGAAATATCAAACTTTGGGAAAGATAGAGGTTTTGTGCTGTACACTGTAGTCATGGATAAATAATCAGGAACAACACGGTCTTTCAACCATGGTGTCCCATTTATATAGATGTAGAATTCTCTGGATTGATTAAGCTGCAACACTTCAACTTCAGCAAAGTGCATGTACATATAAAATTGGTCAGAAGAATTGCTAGGAGTCCACCACAAGTTAATTGAATCGCTAGCATTCTGTGACACCATAGCTGTGCTCATGACAGTAGATGGTAGTTGATATAGGTTGGAAGCCAGGGAGTTGATGGTAGATAAATCTCTTAGCAACATGGGGCTACTCAAGTTAGTAGGGTTCCATACGCGATCGTAAACATCGTCTTGGTACCTAAATAAAACATTAGTAGCATAGCAAAATATTTTTTGATTAGTACATGAAAATAAAAAGAATTAGTGATCATAAACATCGTCTTTGTACCTGATAAATTGATTTGTTGTTGAACCTAAATCCACACGATCAAAGAGCACCAGTGATCCAGAAGTAGTTTCATACATGGAGTTATTCAAAGGCCTTAACTCTAATGCTGAAATGAAAGGTGTTCCGAGGCCTTTGTCTAGGAGACAAACATATATATAATCACTGGAGAGGACATGTATGATCTCACTCCACGTCGTAGAAGATGAATCAGTCAATGATATTCTGTCCCAGAAATCAACTCCCAATTGCAAATCAAAAGTTGGTGGTTTATCTTCTGCATCATAATTTCCATACATGAACCAGGCCCTTATCAAATATTTGTTACCTGTCCCTTTTGCAGGTCTTATGGTGTAGCAATTTCTGGTTCCTTCAGGAAAGCTTCTAACATTCAAGAACTGTTGATAGAGTGAATTTTTCTTGAATTCGGGAGATATAGTCTTGCTTACACCGGTGTCTATGAATGCTGCATCTGAACTATAGCGTATTCCGGTTGTCTGATCTGTGTAGCTTGAATTTTCAGATATCCCACAATCTAAGCTTATGAAAGCTGAGAAAAAAGAGTGACTTATCATCATCTATATGTTTAGTGTAACAACAATAAATAAATCATATTGATATTTCAACAAAGTGTTTACAAACCTGAAGGGACCTGGGCATGAACTGCAAAGGCAAAAGCACCAAGAATTAATGCAATGAGGAAGCATTTTGGCATCCCCATCCTTCTATACAGAGTCTTCATGCTGAAGAGCTAGGCAAAGCCAATAGAAGGTTTGATCTTATGTTTATATTCCTACATTATATATATATACCAATATGCTGCTCATGTTGTCAAATAATATAATCAGATAAAATATTTGTGCTACTCTGTCAATCTTCTTGAACCTAAGCTAGGATGTTGACTTAGGTAACTTTTTGTTAATGTTTGTATACAAGTCAACTGGCAAATCATAATGTTTATTTTAAATATTCCTACCTTTTGTAGTCTTCTTCATCATGTTACTTAGTCTGTAGCCAATACAAGAAAATACATATGAAAACCTTGAAAATGCCAAAGAAAAGTGAATGTCCAATCAAGTACTCAACATATGATTTATATACCAGAATGCAAATGCTGATGGTCCACCAACTCATTGAATGAGAATTACTAAGATGCAACATTCAGAACAAAGCAGGGTTGAAGAATACTGATAATTATCTTGAAGAAAGTTTTCGTGGCAAACCAATGGGCTCAGACAGTATAATCTCTCCTACCAAAGGAGAGGCCGAGTGTTTGAGCCCTGTTAATATTGTAGGTTTGTGACATTGTGTGCATTTGCTTAAACTTTTGGAGAAAAAAATAAAAAATTAGTTTTCGCGACTATCATAATTACTTAGTTATATATATACACACACATATGTGCTTGGTTTCACATAAATTTTGTGACTTAGTAATATTAATTTGCTGGTAGGAGAGTAGACTAGACTTTCCTTTTTAATTGTCATGTTGTTGCCTTAACTGTTACAACTGGATTTATTTTGGTGCCTTGACGAGGATTTGGCTTCTGAATTATTAAATAAATCATGGGGATGTCAAATTAGCTCTTTGGTTGGTGATAGCAAGAATGGGTCAATACTAAGAATTTGGCTCCTCCCGTAGAATATATGATAAGTTGCAGCCATTCTATAAGTGTATACTTAAAAATTCCAAAAATACTTGCCAGTAATAAATTGACTTGTTGCCTGATTATATTCAAGTGAAAACATTGAACACTAAAGACAATGCACATTTCCATTTTAAATAGGAATGACACCAATTTGCACAGATACTCTGAAGTCTGAACATGAACTATACATGTCTCAGATAGTTGTAGCTTTATCTTACTCGTACATTGTCTCTCTTAACCTTAGTTTATTTAGTTTTTCCCTCATTTTAGCTTACTGTAGTTCCGTCGAGCAATCCAAATTTATTATACAATGTACCAATGGAATACATTTTCCAGTCATCCTCTATCTCAATATAAATTTTCTTCTCCATATTCTTTTTGACAAGGCATTCCATACCACGTGGCATCTCCATTTACCTTATTTACCAGGTGAAGTTTTTAAGTTCTTGGATCCAACACAACACTAATCCCACAAGAGGATACTCCCCTGCCTCCTTAAAGTGGCCTAGTCACTATCACCGTCATTTCTACAGAGTGTTGTTTGTCACAGTCGATGAAATACCATTCAGCTCACACCCTGAGTCTAAGTCAAGGACTCTGGTATCTCCAGACACACAAAGAGCTGAAAAATGTGTAAATAGATATACACCCATGTAAAACTACAAACACACAGCCAGTAGTTTTTTGGAATTAGCTACATCTCTGAAAGCAATAAAGTCATACAATTGATGCTTAGAGGTTGGCTGAAGAATAAAAGAAATCAAATATCAACAGTTGGCTTTTGCATACAAAAACTGCAAGAGAATTTGTTCCTCCTCTTGCGTAACCGGCAATGTGCACCCCCAAACACACAAACACACACCTCCACTAGAACTACAACATCAGGATCATGATAGACAAAGTTTTCTACACACTCTTAACATGGACAAATACAGAAACACCGGTGAACCATCCCCATCCAGCAACAAAAACTTTTTAGTGGAGATATCAAATTTCCACATCACTCACTCCACCTCCAAAATCATTGGTATCATTCCAATTGAACCCTTTGATTGATCTGAATCATCCTGAGTTACCTCCATTGCCAAACACCTTCAATTCCATCACCACATAATTCATGGTTGGCCTTCTGGTGGAAGTGTGCGATACACAAGCCATTGCTAATTCTATAGCTTTCTGTGCAGAATTAACATCATAATCTTCCTGTAACTTGGGATCAACAACACTTTTAACATCCCTGTTAGCAAGCATGGAATTAACCCATTGAATTATGTGTGTACTTTCAGGGCTTTTCAGTATTGCTGGCTTGCCAGTGATTATCTCCAAGATAACAATTCCAAAGCTATATACATCGCTTTTCTCAGTCAACCTATTTGATATGAAATACCTGCAACCCAAAATGTATAAAACAATTATTCCTATCACAATGAAATCATGAAATATGATGTTTTCTAAATTCAGCCTATTGTCTAGACATAGATATCTTGAAAAAATGTAAAATTCATTTATTGAAACAAATCATTTCAAAAGACAAACATCGAACTGGGAAAAAAAATAATAATAAAAAAGACTTACTCAGGGTCAAGGTACCCTGGAGTGCCAGCAACAATCATTGATACATGAGTGCCACTTTCACTTGGGAAAACTCTGGACAGTCCAAAATCACCAAGTTTGGCTTGGAAATTTTCATTTAATAAGATATTTGTAGATTTGACATCTCTGTGGATTATTGGTGGTTTACAACCATGGTGTAGATACTTCAATCCTTCAATTCCAGTAAACATTTTTGGGTAGTTAAATTCTTAACGGAAAATAAGAGGTAAGTAAAAGGGAAATATATGGCATTCTTCTACTTACTAACCTCGTCCTGCATCTGCTGTTATTTGAAGTCTGTCTTCCCAACTTAAAACATTTGGATTTCTATCTTTGTCCATAAATTAGCAATACAAATCTTTTTGTTAATGATACTACACTCATGTCTACTTTCCTAGTCAGAAACTTTCAAGTGTGACATGTATACCTGACAGGTGACTTTCTAAGTCTCCATTAGCCATGTATTCATAGATGATTCCCAAGTTGGTGCTTTCATTGCAATACCCAACAAGTGAAGTTAAGTTTTTATGATGAACACTAGTAAGAAGTTTGGCCTGCAACAGAAAACCACATTTAGTTTAATACATGAATTGATGAACTTGATATTTCTTATGGAAAAGAGACATTTCATTGGATTTTATCAAATAATATATTTCAATGATTTAGAAAGCTGTTATTAGAGTTATGCAAGCTACCTTGGTTTGGAATTCCTTATACCCTTGAATTGATGACGAAGAGAGCATCTTTACAACAACCTCAGTGTCCCCTACATTGCCATGGTAAACTGTTCCAAATCCTCCTCTCCCAATACTCCTTTTGAAATTGTTGGTTATGCTTAGGACCTCAGAGTATGTAAACTCTCGATTATTTGCATCAAATAACCACCGAACTTTTTGTTTCCTGACTACTAAGATCATATTTGAATTCAAATAACTTTAATTATTGAATGTTGGATATTAAGATTTGAAATTTTGATCTTTAAACTCTGAGAATAATGGTTCTCATACCTTGTTTTCTCTTCCCAATGATCCATAAGGCAGACCCTATAGAAATTAAGAGTACAGACAATGCAGTAACTGCTGCTACTACTGGAACAACCTTGTTCTTTTCCTTTTTGCACGAAATAGACTCACAAGGATTTGTGTTTTCAGGAACTTGGTCAGTTGGATTTATTCTGTTTTTAAAAGACAAATAAACTGAGAATCAATGAATGTTTATCGTATATGCTAATATATATCCACAGTAGCTATTCAGTCATCCTAATGATTGAACAACTTTGTAGGATGGAAATGTTTAGTGATTTACTGTTTCATAGAAAAATTAAAATAATGGTCAGCTGTGTATTACTTCTAAAAAATTCTGGCATATATAGGGGAAAAAGTGAAATACCAAATCAAGAATCATCTTGAATTTTTTTTTGGTAATTCTGTTGTGGTTTTGCAAAAAGAATAAACCTCAATATGAGCGATCCATTTTTTGACTTTTCAAGGAGTTCTTCTGGAAAAGGACCAGTGAAATTGTTTCCTCTCAAGTTTCTGCACCAAGATAGCAAACATGATTGCCTGTTTTGTATGCTAATATGCTAAAAATTCAAGTCAGATAGGGAAGTAACTTACAGGAATGTCAACATGGTCAACTGACATAGAAAGTTCGGCACCTTCCCAGTTAGTTTATTGTTTGACAAATCCCTGAATTGAGCAGAAGTACAACTTTGTTAATAATTTGTTGTCTAGAAGAATAAGTAAGTTGGATTTTCATATCATTAGCAAGTTGAAGTGGTTTTTGTGAGATCATCATACTTAGAAAGATTCTTAGGATAGAAAGAGTTGAGAAAGAGATTCCATGTGGACTGACTCTATTTGTTCGGGATAAAGGCAAGGATGATGATGATGATGATACTTACAAAGATTGTATCGCCCTGAGATTCATTATGTAAGGTGCAATCTCCCCTGTCAGTCCACTTGAGGATAAGTTCCTGATTGCAAGTTGAATAATGTTGTGAAGGTATGGATTTGGATGGAAAAAATAGTATTTAATTATTTAAAGGCATAAACATACAAGGATGTGATCCTAGAAGGACTGAAACCATCATAACTGCAATTAAGGCCAACCCACACAAAAGCTTCAGGTACACATGGATATCCATCCAAGTTCCTTTTAACTCTATACGTCGATTTGATGCCCAGGATAGCAGAAACTAATATTCCAAAAGGAAAATGAGAGTTAAAACATGAAGAAGAAAAAGGCGTGCACTATATGCAATGTGTTTGAAATAAAGTAAATGTTGGTAAGAACTTACCATCTTCATCATCTGTTTGTGGATGTATAATCTTTCTCACAGGATAAATCTCAAGGCCGTTGATGATGGGTGGAAGGGTTGAATTTTTAGTTTTTTTTTTTTTTATTGAAATTTAAAACTCTTCAAGAGATGGGGGTATTGTGCCATAAAATGTTGTTGTGGAAAAATAATCAGGAACAAAAGGTAAATCCCACCATAGCGTCCCATTTATATAGATGTAGAATTCTCTGGATTGATTACGTTGCAACACTTCAACTTCAGCGAATGCATGAAGATATAATATTGGTCAGAAGTACTGCTAGGATACAACGTCAAGTTCAATGAGTCACTAGCATTTTGTGACGTGATTGCTGTACTCATGACAGAAGACGGTACTTGGAATTGGTTGGAAGCTAGAGAGTTCATGGTAGACAAATTTCTTGTCATCGTGATCAAGATGGGACAAGGGTTCCATATACGATCATAAGCATCATCTTTGAACCTAAATGAGTTATTAGTACCACCATGAGATTTTTATTCAGTATTTGGAAATTGGAAATAAATGTAATATAAAGATATTTGTTTCTTCCCAGCTAGCTCCTACCAAAGACACTTTGATAAGAAAGATGGCATACCTGACCAGTTTTGGTGCTGTTGAACCATAATCCAAACGATCAAAGAGGGCCAGTGATCCAAACCATAATCCACTTTGATACATGGAATTATTCAAAGGCCTTAGCTCTAATGCTGATATGAAAAGTGTTCCAAGGCCTTTGTCTTGGAGACAAACATATATAAAATCACTGTTGAGGACATGTATGATTTCACTCGACATAATAGTAAATGAAGCAGACAATGATATTCTGTCCCAGAAATCAACTCCAAGGTACAAATCAAATGTTGGCAGTTTATCTTTGTCATCATAGTTTCCATACATGAACGAGGCCCTTATCAAATATTTGTTACCTGTCCCTCTTGCAGGTCTTATGGTGTAGGAATTTCTGGTTCCTTCAGGAAAGCTTCTAACATTCAATTACTGTTGTTGGAATGACTTGGTCTTAAATTCAGGTGATATAGTCTTGCTTACACCGGTGTCTATAAAAGTTGCATCTGAACTACAACATATTCCGGTTGTCTCATCTGTGTAACTGGAATCTTGTGATATCCCTCAATCTAAGCGTATGAAGCCTGAGAAAGAAAGAAAGAGAGATCAGAGAGAGACCTTAATTAGCTATCCATTTATTGTAACAACGATAAATATATCACATTGATATCTCAAGAAAGTGTTTACAAACCTGCAGGGACCTGGGCATGAACTGCAAGGGCAAAAGCACCAATAAATGCAAAGAGGAGGCATTTTGGCATCCCAATCCTTCTATTCAGAGTCTTCATGTTGAACTCTGAAGAGGCAAAGCCTAGTGGAGGTTTGATCTTATAGTTATATTCCTATATCATATGCATACCAATATGCTGCTCATGTTGTCAACTACTATAATATAATAAAATAAAATAAAATATTTGACCTACTCTGCCAATCCTCTT